TTATTAACACAGGGAACACGAAAAATAATCATAAGAGCGAGTAGGTATATCTATAGGTAGGTTAAATTGAAAACGTTGAAAAAGTAGTCTTATTAGTTGTTACTATGAGCAGCAATCTTAGTATTGGAAATTAACTTTAGGCAAATTATGATGCATGAACACTAGCGCCTCTGCTTTTTCTGGCAAAAGACGGTTTCTCTTTTTTTCATACAAATTACCAGTCTCAGAAAACAATCGTTCAGAGTAAACAGAACTTCCAGGAGAAGACAAAAATAAACGTGCTAGGATGCCAAGACATGGATATTTTTCTTTGTTCTTACACCACCATCCGTAAGGACATTGTTCCTTAGGAAGCAAAGATTCGCTAAGATATCTGTCCAGTTCTCCCGCGATAGGACTTTTTAAGCTATCTATGGCTGGTTATTTTACTGATGCCAGTTCTTCATAGCAGCTCCAAAATGTTTTGTGTATTGAATTATCGTCGTTAACAGGTCCTCTTGATGACGGCTGTGTCGTAACTTCAAGTTCTTCACTGCTACTGGAGCCCTCAATGTCCTCACACCTCCTTACTGCTTCTGTAAGCAGCATTTGTCGTATCATCTGAACATTACTCGGCGCAAAAAAGTTCATCTTGTAGCGAGGATCGAGCAATGTTGCTAAGCTGTAATATTTGTCTTTTTCCAGGTGTAAGAATCGTCTGTCCATACTCTCTTTCATGGCCCGACGCATAGTATTTACATTACTACACGCTGTTTGCACTTCGTCCTTAATTATGTATTTAGAAAGTACGGCAATGTGCGGAATTACTTCCGATATACAGGAATAAGAAGAGCTCACTTTCTTTGTAATTTCTTCAAATGGCTGCAGTAATGAAAGACATTCCTTTAATAAATCCCATTGCCTCTCTGTGAGGTTTGAAAAATTAACGATTTCATTATTATCGGAAATATATAAAGATATTGCTCTTTTTTGTTCAAGCAACCTCTCTGCCATGTAGTAGGTGCTGTTCCATCCTGTGCTCACATCTTGGACTAACTGATGGCTAGGTACGTTGAGCTCTTCCTGTATCAGCTTGAGTTTTTCTTGAGCAGGCTTAGAATGATTGAAATGAGTAACAATGCGTCGTCGACGGTTTCTTGCGATTTCAAGCCATCATCAACCACTCTTTGCAAAGTCTTTGGATGAAACACTTCTTCCCTTGATATGGGCTGTCATTCACGGCTTTCACAATATTACGGCCATTGTCCGTCATCATCAGATAATTTTTTTGTGAAATTTTCCAGTTGTTCGCTGTTTCCTCCAACGCTTGACGAATATTATCTCCAGAATGTTGTTCATTAAACGATTTTATTTCTAGCACTCTATTTTGCAGTGAAAAATTATTGTCCAGCCAATGAGCAGTAAAACTCAAAAAAAATAGGAAATTGTTCATGCAGGTGCACATGTCACTTGTAACAGAAATGTTATTTGCAGAGGATATCTGATCAAGAATCTTTTTTTTTCAATTGTTCGTATAGCTCGGGAATAACTTTTTCACTCATATATTTTCTGCTTGGAAATTGATATTTAGACATCAATCGATTGAACCCTTGATCTTCTAAAATCGATAAAGGCTGTTGATTATCGACTGCAATCATTTCAGCAATTGCTGTATGAATTTCTTTAGCACGTAGATCATTTATTTTCCACTTATTTTTCAAAGAATCCTCAGTAGATAACTGACGTGAAGATGACGCAACTTGCAGACTAGATGGCAGGTTTTCGTTTGTACTTGAAGTCGACGCCGTCGACGGTAAGTTTGGTGTATGAATAGGGTGCTGCATTTACAAAAATTCTCGTGGATGTCTTACTCTCAGATGGTTAGATAACGCAGACGTACACGCCTTTCGTCCACTACCACCACGAGATATTAGTGACTCGCACAAGGTACATCTTACTTTGTTTGGTTCATTTATTTCTAAATAGAAAGTCCAGACACTAGATTTTTTTCTCCCACTCATTGTTCTTACACTTACAGCACTGTTTTCAATAACTTTTTGTGTATATTTATTATTTAACACACTCAAAACAATTAAAAGTCAATAAAAACAAAAAACGCGTGTCACGGATGACGCAATAATGAGTGGTCGACCGGCTTGGTGACCCGCGGGCGGGGAGCGGGCGGCAGGGACAACAACAAATTACAAGCGATCGCGTAAACAAGTCGTGACGTGACTCATTGAATAAAAGGCGGGAAGATCTGCCGAACTTCGGCCGAAGTTCGAATTCGGTTCAATCCACATTCGGCTCATCACTACAAAATATAGTGAAACTCACAACAAGCCTATAAAATATTTATGATATTTAAAACCTACCATCATTAAAACAATTGAATTTAATTTTAATGGAAGATAAACTTTCTACTTTATTTAATTACGTGCTCATATCTAGCTTGGATTAGCATAGACATAACTGCAACCGCAGAAAGTCTTTCTTGTAACATTATATTCGTTAAATAATACTTATAATGAGTTTTAATTTTGAGAAGCTCCAATCGGCGGAGGTTGTACTTATTGATTATTAGTCAATATTATTTTAATAACGTTGTGGTTTGGATATATTTCTTTTAAGTTATTAGTATAGGTATGGGGACGTGTGACGCCATTTAAACAAGCATGTTTAAACACGAACACGACATATAAATAAATAATTTAAAAATTAAAAACACGACTGCTAAGATCAATCAAAAATTAAAAGAAACAAGTTTAGCCAAATCATAAGCTATATATAGTTCTTAAAATATAGCTTGATCTCTGTGACGTCTGTCACTAGAGCTGTGACACTTACGATATAATCCGTTTTGTCGAAAGAACTCTTTATAATTTAAAAAACTGATTTTAGATGATTGAAAATAATCAATGAAGATATTATTAACTTTTGATTATTTATTTATTTACAATCGGACTATGAAGATAAAAGAGAATAATAGATCTAGGTTTAAAAACATTCATTCTCATAGGAGGTTAATTTACAATTAGATAAACAATATTTTTGGAAAAGTCACATTTCTCTTTAATGTATACAATAAAAATATTGTAATATAAGTCCCTTAAATTGATAATTCACTGGAACATTTTCTAAATAACACCCGCGTGACGTTATTTTAAAAATAGAAACTATAGATAGCACAAAATGAAATTACGTCACACTTACGCCATCAAAATGGCCACCAGGTGCATTAGCAATTTGTGGGGATTATACTAAATATAATATTACAATGTGCACTTATATCTGAACAGTACAATTTAAAAAGTTAATCAAGATGAATTACATTTAAATTAAACAAAAACTGTAAATTGATTGTATTTATTGATCGAAAAGAGCACATCTAAGGTCATCATCGTCATCATCATAATCATCATTATACTCCGAATCGCTAGAGCAATCTTGTAGATCGATAATGAGTTGTTGCTCACAGATTGAACCGAAATTGCAATCGCGATCCCAATCCTCTTCTACCTTTTTTTTTATTTTAGCAACAACATTCTTCCAGTCGTTTGGTGTCACATGTTCACAGGCATTATTTAATAATGTGAGCATCTTATTTGCAGTGAAAGGCGGAGTTGTGTTGGGTCTAACTGCGTGACCTGAAAATTATAATGAAATATTTACGATTTTAACCAAAATATTGGTATGACTATGTAAACTTGTATATTGACTATGCGTCAATAACAATGAAATAAGAAACAGACTACAATATTACAAATAAAAAAAAATCAACAAACCTTTGACTTGAGCCTAGATCAATTCGATCGCATTATTATTTTTTTTTTTTTTTAATTGCCCAGCCAACATTTCTGGCCGGGCCCTACACTACACCCCACTTTTTAGCAGGCCTTTTTTATTACTAACTTCCCATACATTCCAGTTCTATCGTTTACGTTTTACCTTTCATGCCTCATTCCTTTTCTTTCTTATATTCCTTTCCCTTTCATACTTCGAGTGGCCGGGTTCGCCACATCTATTACTATTCCAATTATTATCTATTCTGGGTTTTATTTATTTTTATTTAAATGAGATATACACAGTTCCATTTCTTTGTTTGACTTATTCTAATTACATTTCTTATTCTATTGTTTATATTCTCTTAGTTATACATTTGTTCTTACTTTTTCTCTTACTTTCTTACTTATATTTTAATTACTATTTTTATTTCTGTACACTCGTATTTTCTTACTATTACTATATTTGTTTTGTTTACACTTATTGTCTTTTTATTTTGCGTTCCATTTCTTACATTTTCTTTTCTTAACTCTTTTACATTTATTTTATAATGTTGCTTTTACAGTTTATTCCCTTTTTCATTTGATTACATTTTTATTTCCAGTTACTACTCCTACTTTCGTTACAGTCATATTTCGTTCCACATCTGTTTTGTATTATTTTATTTTACATTTATGTTTCTTATTTCTATTTTCTTCCGTTATTAAAACTAATTTACATTTTATCTTATGCTATTACATTACCAGTTGTATTTTTCTCTGTTTGTTTACATTCTATTTATTCTGTATTCGTTTATTACTTGGTATTGTGATTTACTTAAAATATACTATATTCCATTTATTCTTTTTCTATTTTAGTATTTCTATTTATTATTTCTAAGGTGATTATTCTATTTGTTACGTCCCTTTTTATATTATATTGTTTGGTCTGTATTTTATCCTTGTTTTTATATATTTATTTCAAAATCTTTAGTCACTTTAGCCTATAATTATTATAGGCTTTGTGATCTGAACTTATCCTCTCATTTTATATTCCTATCAGTTTTCTTTTTATTGATTCATAAATAACCTTCCTCATATCACTATGTTCGTGTTATTCATGTTGTTATTTTTGTTTTGGTGTATTTTTGTTTGTATTTCTGTTTATGTCTGTTGGCATTCTCATGATGCCTTAAGGCATATGGGTTTTCTTTGTTTGAGTGTTTTTTGTTATATTTTTGTTCTATTTTTTGTGTGTATTTAGTGTGCTTTATTTTGTAGTTTTGTGTGTTTTCGTCTTTTTGTGTTGTACTGTTTTCATTCGTAGGCTGTGGTTGTACGTGCCAGATATTCCCACTTGTCACGTACTCCACATTCTTTACTAAAGGCGTTATGCTCTGTTTCCTCCAGGCCTGCGTGCGCGCAGTTGCAGCATCGCGGCGCCCTACCCGCTTCTCTTTCGGGGCAGTTCGCTCTGAGATGCGGGTCGCCGCAGTGGCTGCATCTACTCGCACTCTCCTGGCAAAATTTCATGCCATGCCCGAATCCAAGGCATCTTGTACATTGGATCAGCGGTGATTGATCTTCGACCTTCAACCGCTCCATCTCAATGTACAAGTGCCCCTTCCCGGTCATGGCCCTCCATACCGCCGGTTTGACCTGGATTATTGCATGACACCTTTCTTGATTTATGGCCTTCCTTCTAAATTTAACTTTCACCTCTTTTTCTTCCTCCTTATTAAATAATTCCTTGTTTTGGTTCTGTATCAGCTGTAATAATTCCTCCTCTTTTATTTGAAATGGTACGTCTTTTATTATTACCAACGGGTTCTTGTTTTTAACTTTTTCTATTTTTATTCCTTGCTCTTTTTGTAATTTGTCTTTAATTTTTTCTATTTCTTTTTCCTTTGCACAGCCTATCAACACCCTCTGGTCCTTTACCTTCCTTATTTTATCAATTTTTATTTCTTCTAACGTTGGTTTTAATATTGCTTTTGTCTTTTGGATGAGCTCCTCTGCTGTGTCATTTTTATTTTCAGATTCAAGTATAATCGAGTGCATCGTCCGGGGTATATTAGTCTTTGCTATATTTGCATAGGTATCCTTTGGTGTTATTTCCTGTCTGTTTTTTACTTCTTCTATGCTCTCCCTTACCTTCTCTCCTAAAACTGTGGATATCTCTCCCATTTCCTTTGTTAATCCTTTCACTATTTCCTCTTCGTGTGTTTCCCAGTCGATACTATCGATCTTTTCCATTGTTTCCTTCTTTGCTCCTTGTATTGTTTTTTCCAGGTACTCTATTACGCCCTGTATCCTCTTTGGAAGGTCTTCTTGCACGTGTTTATTTATTTCTCTCACAATAAGGTATGTGTCACTATGTGCTTTCATAAGACATGATTGTTTGTACGCCATTCCGCCTTTTATGTCAATTTTTACCCTTTCTATTGCCTCTTTTATTTCCTCTATCCCTTTTTCCTTTATTCTTTTTACTTCTACTTCCTTCTGCTTTCCTTCCTCTCCCTCTATTTGCCTATGGGTTCCTTTTGTGTCCTTAATTTACCTCTCCAAATCTATTACTTCTGCTACTATATTGTCTTCGGAGGTCTCTATCCTTTTTGTTATCTCTTTCATTTCTTCTCTTGTGTTTATTATGATTTCTTTTACTTCTTGTCTTTTTTCCTCTTCTTGCTCTTTTTTATTTCTCCATTCTTCCATGTTCCTTCTCATTTCCTTCAATTGTATTTCTATACCTCCTTCCTTCTCTTCTTTTCCCATTTCTCCTTGTTCTGTTATTTTCCTGCTGATTTCAAACATCGTTATCAATCCTTTATCCGCGATTTCTTCCAGTTTTGCCTTGACGTCCCTCCTCATTTGTCCGTATACGGTTTCCGCTGTTTCCTCGAATAATTGCATGGCTTGTTTTAGTAATTCCTGTACAGTTTCATCCTTTATTCCTAGTTTTAATTTGGTGTCATATTTTTTCTTTACTTCTAAGGATCTTCGTTTTGTTTGTGTTCTATTTATGAACATTTTTATGGCCTCCTGTTTTTCTTCTCCCTTCGGTGATGGTGAGGGAGTATCCTGCGAAAATCTCCTTGCAGTTTTTGAGGGGGACGCTACTGGTGTCCTGTACATCTTGTAGTGGGGTGTAGTTTGTGTATTATATTGGTGTGTTGTTTTTATGTTGTGTTGTATAAGTGTATGTTCTAATGTATGTTTTGTTTCAGATGCCGGTTTGTGCAGCTCTACTGCTTAGTCCTGTTGGCGTGTTGGTGAGTAATATTATATTTATTTGTGTGTATGTTTGTTTATGTGTGTGTATGCCTGTGTGTTTATGATGTTTATATATGTCCGTGCAGAGCCTTGCTCAATGCGTCCGTGTCCGTTTACTTATATCTAAGACTCGTCCCAATAGGATACGATGTCAACAGTCATAAAATTATATAATTAGGTCAATGCTATCTTTGTTTTTTGTATAAAAAACAGGGTGTAAAAACGTCAAATTTTTCTTCCGGAATTTTGTTATTTTTGTCTTATAATCTGGTCCACTTATTTGTGTCGCTAATGCTCTTTTATATTAATTTTTTCAGATTTTTTGGCTTTAAAATGCCGAAGTTTCAATCTTTATTACGTTTTCCGGGTTTTTCTCCGGAAATTCCGGGTTTGGATTCAATTGGAGATGTTCTTCCTTGGTTTCCTGGGACTGACCCCTCAGAGACCGGCCACCCACCAGTAGAGCCAATGCAGTCGTTATGTGTATGAATTTGTAGACAGTTGAAAAGTTGAAGATGTTCTCCTACCTTGTCCGGGGAGATGGTAGATGGTAGAAGAAGGGGAGGGCCGAGCGATTGCTCGAGGCCTTCTGAACAGTTTTCTCACGAACGGCTGCGGCTCGGGCGGCTATGCTACTCCTGTAGCATAGCAGGTCAGCAGCTCCCCGCTGAGGCAGTAGCAGTACTGCGTCAGGAACAGGGTCTCCCGGCAACCAACCGGCAGTTTGAGGAGATGATGCGAACGACTGGATGGCACTCGTTACGTAATTCCGCGGTTAACACTTAATTTATTTAATTTAATTTACTAATTTTGAGTTTCTGCACTGAGCTGCACTAATGTAATGATCATATATGTCACAATTTAACACTTTGTTAGGATTAAAGCTAACCTAACAATCCTAACAATCTTTCCCAAATAGCACAGGTTTGATAGAGTGAGCAGTTTTTTTCCACTAAGAGAACTTGCTTTGATAGTTTTAAGCTTTTATACTAGGCGAAACTGATATTACCGTCCGTTAGGTCGCACTTCTGCACCCTGTTAGGATTAATTCCGACCTAACAATCCTAACAAGTGTTCATAAATGGCTTGAATTTTGGTTAAAATAGACAGTTTTCAGCACTAAGGGTACTTACTTTAATAGTTTGAGGTTTTACACTAAGCAATATCGATATAATTGTCCCGTAAATCACACTTTTACACGTTGTTAGGATTAATGTTAATCTTACACTAACAATCCTAACAATCGTTCATAGAAAGCACCGGTTAGACAATTTAATTAGTTTTTTACACTTGGAGCACTTTCTCTATTATTTTAGGCTTCTGCACTGAGCCTCATTGATGTAACAGTCCCTTAGTCCACACTTTGGTCACTTGTTAGGATTAATCCTAACCTAACAATCCTAACAATTGTTCACAGATGGCCCAACTTTGGCAAAAATGTTCCGTGTTTTCACTCAGAGTACTCACTTTACTAATTTCTGGCTTTACTCTAAGAGGCACTGATGTAATAGTCTTGTAGGTGACACTTCTGCACTTTGTTAGGATGAATCCTAACATAACAATCCTAACAACTGCTCAAAAATGGCCCAACTTTGACGAAATGAGCAGTGTTTTTCACTCGGAGCACTTACTTCCACTAATTTAGAGTCTTTTCACTAGTTAGCACTGGTGTGACAGTTCAAACAGCCTCGCTATTAGCTTTGTTAGGATCAACCTATCCTAACACTTACTAATTATTTTAAAAACTTGCTTTTAAATGAGAGGAGTGAGCGATCCTCCATAAATAGATGGTTATAATTAGATATTTAGGGAATTTGAAATATAATTGAAGATAGGGAAGGAGCAACCGGAAACGCGTGCTCTCCGTAAGGCTTCCCAGGCAAGACGGTATCGCATTATATTGGCAATGATACGGTGGCAATCGGATTACAGTATGTCCCACTGCTTTAGCGATCTCATCCAATACGTATACAGGAGTGCGAGGTTTGTGAATATTCACCAATCGGAGCAATTCTTTTTTTAATAGTGTTTCGTTGACCTCCACTCCTTTGTTTTGCAGCCATGAAATAATTTCGTTCTTTCGATTATTGCTTGTCGGAGCCTTATCTCTTTGCACCGAATGGTATGAAGCGTTGTCCATTACGATAGTGTACCACATCCTTCAAGTTATTTAAAAGGATTAGAAACCACTCTCTAAATTTCTCGAAATTCATTTCTTCATGATAATCTGTGGTTTTTACGGATTTGAACGCCAATAAACAATTTGGTACAAAACCGGTTGACGTTCCAGCATGTACAATTATCAGTCGTTGTCCCTTGCCTTCAGGTACCTTCATGGTGGAGTCTGCTTTGTCGTCTGTCCATGACTTTGAGACTGTGTGGTTTGCATTTAGCCACGTTTCATCCAGAAAAACTATCTTGTCCCAGTCAGTAACCATTTTTATATTTCTTAAAAAATCAATGCGGGCGAGAGCAATGTCCGTTCTTTCCATTACAATTTTCCTTCGATTGCTTTTTTTTATATTTAAAGCTTATATTTTTTAATATTTTGGATAGACTTGGCAAGCTTCCTTTAAATAAATCTGCGTCTTTGAGAGACACACTCAACTTTATGAGTGTTGGGTATTCGCCTCGGTTATAATATCCATAAATATGATTCCGGATAGCAGCAGCGTCGAAATCGTCGATATCCGAGACCGGTGAAGCTTTTTTTCTTTTTTTGTTTGGAGTTGATAATTTTTTATCAGCATCTACCTTTGGCGCATCGCTTGATCCTTCTCCATATTTTTCCTTATTAATACGAACTATAGTAGCTCTACCAATGCCAAGAGCGTCAGCAACTCGTTCGCACACTTGCGTTAATGGCAACAACGGCCCGCCATTTTGGTTCTCGCGTTCAAAATAGTCCCGTAAGCGTACCACAAACTCACGGCATTCACTATTAAGAACTGTCTTTTTTGCTCTCTTTGGCATCGTGATACCAAAAACAAAAACCAACTTAACAAAAAAACCTAACTATAACTTTAACTAATCAACCACCACTAAAAACAAAACTTAACAATCAAACGTAACACTTTAATTAACGGGACAACCACCAAAACAGAAACAAACGTAGCGCATACAAGGCGTCGGCACTCGTACTGAATGACATGAGATGATACATGACGCACAATAATCAACATGGCTGCCGGCGTCACTGCACGGTGCTGCCACAATGATTAATGTAACGATTGCAACTGTTTTATTTATGAATAAATAGGTTTATGTTATTAACAATAATGATTATGTATTTAATTGTATCACCATATAATATTATTTTTTTAAGCATATATATGCAAACAAACCAACAAATAATAGCCTTTTCTCTTCTCTTTATAATATTAGTATAGATTGGATAAAGATTATCGTATTTACATTTATCGACTGTCACATCTCTATCTTTTTGTTAGTCCAGTATGACCTTGTAATGCGTAACCGTTACATTTTTATAAAGTCATTGCTAGTAGTTTTATAACTTACGAAATACGTTATAGGTGAATTTTTATATTTATAATGCATTGCAGTTCATTTGTGATAATACCCATACGTAAAGAATAAAAATATAAGTGATACAAAATGACATTGTAAACATGACGCTTATTCAAAGTTACTTCGTTGGTTTCATTGACATCTGTAACAGAGATCAAGCTATATTATAAGAACTATAATATAAAAATCTATGATAATATATCTATAATAATATTAAAAAGTATTCGTGCCATTTCGTCGACGATTTCGGAATATTTTCGTCATCCATAGAAAATATTTTGCAACAAAACAACAATACAATTAGTTTGCAAGTTTTTTTGACTTGCAAACTAATTGTACATATGCACGCGAAACCGTAAACAGACACACTTCATAATTAAAAATATACCGAATTTAGAAAAAGTTGTTTGATATACGGATCTCCGATAAATTTGTTGTATTAGATACATGTAAGTTAAATCGATGATCGATTTGATATCGGTCGAATTATATCGAGTCATGAGTCTAATTGTAAGTTAATCCTTATTACATAAGTCAACTTCTAGTGAAAGTCCCTTCAAATTCGGTCACGCCGTTTCAGAGATTAGCCAGAACTAACAGACAGACAGATAAAAATGTTATTTTTGTATATGTACCGTGTATACACACAAATGTATTTAGTGAAAAGCGGTTATTTTAATATTACAAATATGCACTCGAATTTTTAGTACTTGTATAAGTGTATTGAGAGAAGAAGTACCTTGCGTTATTTGCATTTCTTAATATAAATATATATTTTAACTTTCTTATACAATTATACCTAGGGGTCTCCCGACCCATGCTGAAAATAACGAATGTGTATTAGAAATAATTCAACAAGCTATATAAATCGAACTTCGTGATCAAACTATACCACTATACTGCTATACTGCTCTATTAAGGTTCGAGCACATTATGCTGGGCCGCAGCGGGGCGGAGCGGGCCGCAGCGGGGCGGAGCGGGCCGCAGCGCAGCGCAAAATGCGTACCTAGCACATTTGTGACGGGCCGGGTCGCATTGCATTGACGGATTTTGAGTACAGTGTACTGCCGGAATTTGCGTGTAACTGTACGTTATGGATAGTTCTGACGAAGAACTTTCGTTTTTTTGCCTGCTGTTAGAAGAAGAACAGCATAAACAACAAATTCGTCCAAAGAGAAAACGTAAAATATGGATACACCCTATTTGTTCCAAGAGAAAGATTTTCGGCGAATACTATCATCTTTTTCCCGATCTTATAGCAGACAAAAACAAGTTTTGGGGATATTTTCGGATGACTCCTGATCGATATTTTCAATTACTTGAAATAATAAAGGAGGATCTGCATAAAAAAACTACAACTTTTCGTGCGCCTATCGGACCAGAAGAGCGGCTTGTGGTGTGTTTAAGGTAAGTTTCACTATAGCATACCTGGTGATTTTTAATTATCCTTTTATCCTCCCATTTAATCCTGTGTAAATTGTATCTTAAATTGTTAGTGGGGTCGTCGTCGTGTATATTTGTCTTTGTAATAGTTAGCAGCGGCGCTAGTTAGGGTATGTTTTCATTTTAAAGAAAAAAAAACGATATACATAGTGTCAATATCATATTATCACAAAATCACAGAACAAAATATTATCTATCTTAAACGTAAAACTATTTTTAATCAACATCTTCCATTTCTCTTTGTGTTTGGCCTCTTATTAGCCCATCACTCAAAATGCCATTCATTGGTTATTGTTTTTTTGTTGAACAGAATTTAAAAAAGCATTTAATGCGTTATCATCAAGATCAAGACCAATCTCTTCCTGTGTGTCAATATCATTTGGATTTACATTTGTTGAAGTTGGTGTTATTTTTTGGTTTCGAGGTTGCGCATCAACATCATTTGAATTAACAACGATTATGGGCGGTGCGCTCTCTTGAGATAATTCTAATACATATTGTGGTTTAGACTTCTCCCTGAAAACGAACTCCTCTGCATCGGTAACTATTTTAAAAACTTCACGTTTTACACGAATTTGTACATCTTCCGGAAAATTTGAAACAGTTTCCCCCAAGTTCTTGAAAAACTCAACTATTTTATCGGATTCATTTTTCTTGGTACTGTATTTTTTTTCTAAATACTCTTGCAGTAACGAGTGTGTCGGTGAAAGCTGTGGTGGAATATCTAAAGTTCTAGGATTCCTTTTATAAGCACGAGGTGAACTGTCTTCTGAAGAACCAGGACGATTTCTTATAGTGCTTTGTGAAGTACCAGCACTTGAACTAGGGCTATCACGGCTATGAATATCATCTAAAAGACTATTATCCTCATTACTTGAGTCTTGGAAAATATAATTTGGTGGAAAATTTGAAAAAGTTTCATCCTCGTTGCTAATATAGGGGATAAGGAATGACAATAAATCTTCATATTTTGGTTTCTTCATATTTGTAGCAGCTTGTCCACTTTTTGTTTTCCTTAACTTTTTAGCGCGTCTGTAATTATCTCTTATTCGTCTCCATCTGTCTCTACAAGTTTTAGCTGTGGAAGAAAAAATATAGGTAGGTATTAGTAAAGTTAGAACATAAAGCATAAATAGGCTGATAATCATGCGATTAAAGGACACCATGGAAAATAACCTTATTGGCTTGCATAAATGTAAGGATCGGCCAAAAGACGTAAGATGTTTGAACCACATTGCTCTTTATGTTTCAGATATTTGGCAACAGGAAATTCAATGATATCATTAGCCACTACTTTTCGCCTTGGTGAATCAACTGTTAGACAAATTATTTACGAGGCATGTACAGCCATATTTAACAAGCTGTCACCTAATGTCATGCCCGTACCGACAGAAGCAGACTGGAAACGTAAAGAACAGCGTTTTAGAAAGCAATGGAACTTTCCAAATTCCATTGGGGCACTGGATGGAAAGCATGTTATTATTGAAGCACCACCGAATAGCGGTTCCCTTTATTTTTCTTACAAAAAAACGTTTACTATAGTTTTATTGGCCTTAGTCGATGCGGACTACCGTTTTACAGTCATCGATGTTGGTGCCTTGGGTAAAAATTCTGATAGCCTAATACTCAATAACTCTAATTTTGGCAAAGCTTTAATCGATGGACAGTTTAGTTTGCTTGCTGATAGTTTAATACCGGGTACAGACATAAAGTTACCACATGTCAGACCATATCCAGCAAATCAGTTGACAAATGACGAAGACAAGAAAGCTTTTAATTATAGGCTGAGTAGAGCTAGGCGTGTGAGCGAAAATGCTTTTGGTATATTAGTGAAAAAGTTTAGAGTTTACGAAAGACGTTTTTCGTTATTGCCGAAACATGTTAATGTTATTATATAAGCCACTCGTTGTTTGCACAATTTACTGCGAAACGACATTTGCTACTGGTCTGAAGAGGAAGCTCAGAGAAATGTGGTAACAGAAGCTGTAAGAGATTTGCCATATATTGGAGGACATGCAGACGCAATGTGTGTTCGTGATCAATTTAAAAGATATTTCGTATCTCCAACTGGTACCGTTGAGTGGCAGTCTAGGGTTATTAGAAGAGGTATGCGAAGAAACTAATATCAAGATATTAGTTTCTTCGCATACCTACCTCGCATGACACTAAGGTGATTTATTGGATACTGCCTGCTTACTTATAAAAAAACCGGCCAAGTGCGAGTCGGACTCGCATATGACGGGTTTCGTACCACTGATAATACGGAACCCAAAAAATTTAAGAATACTGTTATTTTCGGCATTTTGTACGGAACCGTCTCTGTGCGGGCCCGACTCGCACTTGACCGGAATTTCCCTTTTGAGGAACGGGTCCCTAAAAATAAAGCAAAAACCACAATTTCGCGACAATTATTATTCATCTGTTATTTATTATTATTAATTATGTTCATTATTATTGTCATCATTAATAAAGTAATACCTAGAGTAGGTATTAAATAATGAAAGATACACTATGGTTGTTAGTGTCAAACAGCCTAGTGGCAATAAACATTTCCTCAGAAATCTGCCTAAAGAGGTCTAAATCAGTGATATTATATATTATGTTACTTGGTCTAAATACGTCATAAGTTACAAAAAAATGTGATTATAGTACATCACGATACAAGTGCGTTATAATTGTTATAACGTAAGAAATATATACTTGACAGTGTTACTTACCAGATTCTTTCATTATGTCCCCTTTTTGCTTCCAAATATTATCTCTTCTTTGTTGATCATCGTAATGAGGATCTTGCAAATCATAAAGTTCTTTGTATCCTTGAACTAAATTAATCAAAAGTTCTTCATTCATTTTTGTGAACACCAAAGGAACACGCAAGTACCAAAAAACGCAAATATCGTGAAATGAACACGTGTGTGCGTGCACACCAATCCGCTTGCTATAGCACACTGTTGTCGGGTCGCAGCGGGGCGGGGCGGGCCAATGTTCGACGGTTTGCCGCGCGCAGTCGATACTCGGCTTAATATTACATCTCATTTGACCTAATACCATGTAATGTATTAAAATAATGTAGAGAATTAAATGCAATAATAAATAATCACTAAGCAGTTCTGACTGGTCACGGTACTCTAATAGTCAATGTGGCTTTGAATTCACCAAAAATAGTTCAATGAATAGTCAATTAAATTGTCAACTTTTTAATAATGACTTCTCTACAATATACATAATTATTCTAAGATTGTTCTACAGCTAAGCTACTAAGCTACCTCCTAGCCAAATGATATTAATACTTTTATTACCCGTCAACCCGAATTTCGCGAATACAAATAAATCCGTTATTAGATATTATTCTGCATTTTCAGTACATGCAGTTTTATTTAATTACCTAAAGGGAATGTTGTCAGTTTATCTATACGTTAAATATATTTTAACTTTTCTTTCTTAAAATAAAGCATTTACGAATAAAATAAACAAACAATTACCAAAATCAGCCTGTATGTAAGAAACAGTTGAACTTCGAACACTAAAACAGAAGAATGTCAATAAAATGCCAACGTACCTATTGAAATCAAATTCACTCAATATACTATAATCCTCTTTCTTCGTTTTCCCCGACATTTTCAATCACTTAAGCTCTATAAAACAAATAAAAAAATTATTTTATCAAAGATATACCGACTCTCGACTCGAAAGCTAAACAAAATGGCGTTGCGGCCCTTGGAATGCCTGGACGTGATTGGTTAATCGATGGAGGTTGGACAAACAAGAACGGAATGTAATATTGAAATGCGTACATTTGAGCAATTTTTTAAAATTACTTTAGTTTTATTTATTTAGTGTATTGGACACTTTATAATATTCTTATGAGTAAAAAATTTGATAGAAATCATAAGCTATTGATAAATCGTCACCAATAGGTACCTAAAACTTACGTTACATCTATAAATCTCCAAAATATGGAGATAGACTAAACAAGCACTCAGAACATTTTTAAATTGGTAGATTGGACATTTTATTTTTGATAATAGTGCAAGTTGTATCAAAAAATAAACAAATATTTTTATATTATAAAGCGCGTAATCAGAGTTGCTATAATTTGAAAAAGAAAAGTCTATTATAGCCATGCACTTACAAAATACTTGTATTTCTCAGGTGATATCATCAGTACCTTTGTTATAATCATTTAACTAATGGTGCTTCATTGAAACTTCTAAGCTGGCTTGATATTTCCTAGATTCTGGAGATGAACTTTAGAATGGGCTTCTCTAACTTCAAATTAAAGCATTGCTGTTGAATCAAGTGAACACTAACTTGTGAAGAAGGTTCATATACAGTGATAAGTCTCTTCCACATTTCTTGGCTTGTGTTGCATGACGATAACTACGTCAAAACTTGCTCATCGACCCTTGTAGCCGATTATAACAGCCTCCTTTGATAATTTGCTTTTTCCATTGACGATGTCGAACAGTTTTCTTGCCTGTAACAAAACCGTAATTTGGAATTTCCATACTGGCCAATCGCTACCATTCAGTAAAACACACTTCTTTTCATCCATCGTGACGCCGGCACGAGAGTTAAAAAAGCGTTACGTTACAACCTGGCGTTGACGCTTTTATACCGTTCTGGACGTGAGTGTTCATACGTGGACGCTTTATAATCACTCTCGTCCCGTCTCTGCTATGTAAAGACGTGAAAATGGTGTCTGTTAAATTATTAGCACTAGCCATTTGTGCTGCAAGAAAACGAAAACTGAAAAAAAAGGCATTTTGGGTACATCCTCTCCTGGAACATAGGTACCTAAAAGGGCAGTTTGTGACACTGTACGATGATTTGAGGCAATACCCTAATAAATTTTTTAATTATTTTCGAATGTCTATAAGAACATTTGACGAATTGCTGGAAATAGTGGGGCCTCAAATACTACTTCAAGATACCAATATGCGTTTGGCAATACCACCTACACAAAGACTGGCTGTTACATTGAGGTAAATAAAATACAACTTAATTTCAAAATTAAAAATATTTTTCTATTTCTTAAACTTAGCTTTAACATTAATTTGGTGACATGTAATAGTCTTCTGGTGAAGTTATATTATTTAAAGGGCTTTGAATTGTAATTGAAGTTGAGCTTGATGGATCAGTGTTCGATGGAGATGGACAAATATTTGGGTTAAAACTAGTAAAAAAGCTTTGTGCGGAGTGTGACCTAGGACTTTGTGAAGTAGAAATAGCGGGGCGGAATTGACGATTTTCTAAAATCTGAATTATTTTCGATGGATGTACAGATTTATCGGATGATGATGATTGATGCAAGATTGATGATGAATGATCTGAGAGCTGCTGATGCATGTAAGGAGTTTGAGTTAATGTTGACTGTGAGTGATCTTGTTGTGGTGTCTGAGTATACATGTAGTTGGTGCCTGGCTGTAATTCCTGATAAACATCACGAGCTTCAGTAGATGTTAGTTGCGAGTGCTGCTGTTGTGTGGTCTGAGTATGGAAGGGTCTAGGTTGAAAATGCGGTGCATTGATTGGCCCGAGAAACGGTGACTGGTTGGACTGATTTATGTATGTATTTTGTGATCTGTTTGAAAATGTGCGTATTATGTTTAATATTTCGATTTTGGCTAATATTTTGTTATCATCATCCATTTTTTTAAGTGATGGAACCAGTGATAAACAGAATGTTTTATCCTCATCCGTTTCAGACATTTCATTTTTGATGGCCTTCAGTATTTCGTCCTCAAAAGATGATGTAGTTTTCTTTTTCTTTTTTGGAGGAGCTTTCGAAGGTCCTGGCATGGCTAAAATTTCAGTATTCGGCGTTGTCGGCGTTTCGTTCGATGTTGTCGGCGTTGCGTTCGACGTTGTTGGGGAACTTGGATCTGATACAGTTGTTGGAGTGCTGTAGTTGCCAGAAGTGTTAGCATCTTTTACGTGAGGAATAAGGAAGAGTAGTGCGTCATAATATCTATATTTCTTTCTCTTTTTTGCACCTTGTCCAGATGTAATATTCTTTTGGGCTTGGTATTCACGCCGGAAGTTGTCCCTTAAATGTTTCCATTTTGCTTGTACTTCTTTGCCTGAAAAATAACATAACATAAATATATTATTGTTACAGATTTATAGCTACAGGCAATAGTTTTCATGATTTACATTACCAGTTTCTACTTGGAGTGTCTACCATACATTACATTGTAAAACAAGTGTGTGACGCAATATGGCATTATTTACAGCCTTTATACATGCCAGAGAAGACAAAGGATGACTTCAAAAAAATATCAGAAGAATTTTATCTCCGAACTAACTTCCCAAATGTAATCGGAGCCGTCGATGGTAAACACATCGAAATAACAAAGCCCAATGAAAGCCGTTCACTGTACTATAATTACAAAAATTACTTTTCTATAATTTTAATGGCAATTTGTGACGCAAACTATTGTTTTACTTGCATTGAAGTAGGAGCCTATGGCGGTTCCACTGACTCAAACGTATTTAAAAATACGTCATTTAACAGGCAACTAGAATCCGGCCAAATCGATTTACCAGAACCGAATACACTGCCAAATGATCCCAATGGCAAAACTATGCCATTTGTATTCATTGGAGATGAAGCCTTTGCTCTATCGAAACATGTTTTACGACCATATCCAAACCGCAACTTGACTGTGCAACAACGCATTTATAATTATCGACTAACACGAGCTAGAAGAATGATTGAATGCACTTTCGGTATCCTATCAAACAAGAGTAGGGTTTTACAAGGACCTATAGACCTTCAACCCGATCGCGTGATATCAGTAGTCAAAGCATGTTGCGTACTACACAATTTTGTAAGAATTAAAGATGGATTCCAATTTGAAGATACTTTATATGACAGTGCAATACAAGGTCTACAACCGACAGGTCTAAGAAGTAATCACACAGGTCTGGAAACACGTGATTATTTTGCTAAATATTTTACATCGCCACAAGGTTCTATCCCGTGGCAATACCAAGTAATCAATAGACAGAATGGTAACTAATGACTAAAAATTGTTATTATAATTTTAGTGACAAGCAAGCAAATTGAATAAACATTATTTACTTACATCGACTATTTTTTTCTTCATTGGTGAGGGCTTCCCAGTCTTCCGAGAGATTTTTAGTTATACTTTCCCAAGCATTATTCTTCACAATTTTGTTGGAGTAATCCGGCAGTGCTTTTGCATAAAGGAATGTACGCGACTCCACTTCTATAATTAATGCTTCGGGATCTACATCCCAGGGCACCATGTTGCCACCGTCGTCGTTCCAAAATCTGCGACCCTGAGACACCCACGTCCGACAGCTGAGAAAGCGCGCCGCGCACTGAACACAGCGCTGGCGCTTTTCTAGCGCTCGTGCGAATGACAATATGAAGTTTCATATGATCTATTCCATGTAACGCCCAACGCGCAGCGCTCGAAATCGAACAGTGGTCGATAAAAAAGCGTCGCGTTTTAAAAACGCTGACGTGCGAACACAATAATTGAGATGCATTTGTCCTATTTGAACGCTTTTTTAGCGTCCGTTGAAAAAGCTCTCGTGCGAACGGGGCCTTAATCCTTTTGTTCCGCCGAACTCCAAAATCTTTTTTTAACCTCTCGTGTTTCGAATAATAGTAATCAACATCGATCAGTCTCTTGGGCCCATAACCTTTTGACAGTTATGGGCTGGAGGAAAGTGAATTCATGGAAATCAATTTGTAATATATATTTCTCACATTATTTAATCCAATAGAATACACAACGCACACGGAGACAGTCACATTAAAAGTTTTTATAATGCTAAATAATGCTTATATTATTAAATCATTATAATATCAGCCTTTTATAAAATACTTAGATTTATACTCGTATCTCTATCTATTTATCTCTTAGTTAACATTTTTTTTACCAAACTTTATTATGTTTGCAACACAATACTAAACAAATCAACTTTGTTTTCTCTTAAGGTGCTCCCACACTGCTGTTACCAAACGTTTATAAACATTTTTAAACACTAAAACATTTACTATCAAATGTTGTCAATTCTTACATTTTGTTAGGAACTGTTACATGTTATAAGTGCTCCTACACTGATGGAAAGTGTTTACTAACATTTTATAACATTTTGAATCTGGCATTGGCTCGCAGTTTGGTTTTGCGTTCTGAGGCGTCTACACGAAAATGGAAGAAGATTTGCTAATTGGGATAGCTTTCATTTTTTGTTTAAAAAAAAAGAAAAAGCGCTCTTATTGGATGCGCCGAACGCTTAAAGCTAGAGAAAAATATAGTGCCACAAACTATCTCGAGGATTTGGGCATTGATGGTTGCTTAGAAGATTTTATAAGAATGAACAGTTCCGAATTTGAATATCTACAAAATTTAGTTGGGGCAAAAATAGGCAAACGAGACACAAATTTTAGAAAATCTATAAGTGTGACGGAAAGACTTGCGGTAACGTTAAGGTTTTTGGCAAGTGGTAGCAGTTATAAAAGTCTTGGAGATGTGTTCAAGCTGTCAGATCAAGTGATATCAATAATCGTACCACAAGTGTGCGAGGCTCTCAATGAGGTTTTACAAGAATGCATAAAGGTAAGTCAAACAACATTTTTATTTATTAAATTTTTAATAATCAACAAATCAAACACATATTTTTAATTTTGGATTGAACTCAGCAAATCGTTTAATGATCCGGTCGAATCTTGGCTTGATTCCGAAAAATTTGATGGAGTCGGTGCTCTTGCGCTGGTACGAGTATGTGCCCTCGAGCTATCCAAAGGACTGGTTTCGAATGAAGCTAAGGGACTCGGTGCAGTGTAGTATCCTCTCGAGCTACAGACAGCATTATTTTCCGAAAAAGTGGATGGATTTGGTCCAGAGTTGTATCCCCAGGAGCTACTAGCAGTTGGCTCTGTCATGTTTGTAGGATAATCATATAGTCCCATTGATGCATTGTACAAAATATTGTTAATGTGATGTTGAGCAGTATTGAAAGCACAACGGTTTTTTAATTGTTTGAGTTTCATAGAGACATACTCTCCAAATGCGTCACTTTCATCCTTGCTCTTTCTAGTTTCGTGCATGCTTTGTAAAATCTTTAAAGCTTCTTGTTGTGTTGTATCGTTTTCTTCTTGTGGCCGTCTTCTTTTGCGAAATGTTTTTGGGGTGGGGAACACCTTCTCCGTAGTTTCGTTTAGAGTGACAGTATTTTCTGATTCGTTCAAACTATCACTTCTGTTTTCTTCGTTACCCTGAAAGAATAGAAGTAAACGATAACTACAAGTTACTTAATGTTCTATTTTTTTTTCCAGTTACCGACAACACCCCAAGAGTGGCTATGCGTGGCAAATAAATTTTTAACCAAATGGAATTTCCCAAATTGCTTAGGAAGTATCGATGGGAAGCACGTAGCCATACAAAAGCCAATTGATAGCGGCAGTGAATATTACAATTATAAAGGATTTTACAGCGTTGTACTTTTAGCGCTAGTGGACGCAGAATATAACTTTTTATACGTGAATATTGGCTGCCAAGGACGCATAAGTGATGGTGGAGTTTTCGCAAACACAAAATTTCGAAAAAAAATTAACGACTATAGTTTGAATATACCCAATGACAGCTCACTACCAGGCAGAAACAAACCTGTTCCTTATGTGTTCGTAACAGATGATGCGTTCCCGTTAGAAAAACACTTGTTAAAACCTTTTCCAGGACCACAGGATAGCAATTCTAAGAAAAGAATCTTCAGTTATAGACTGAGTCGTGCGAGGAGAACAGTAGAGAATGCATTTGGGATTTTGTCGGCCAGATTTAGAGTTTTACGAACTATAATATTATTAGATCCAGAAAAAACTACTACTTTAATTATGACATGCATGCTACTGCATAATTTTAAGAAAAACTGGATCGAGCATGATTTACGCTCCACCTCAATACTACGATGGCGACGACTTAACTGGTACACGTATCGATGGACAATGGAGATTAGAAGAGCAGCAATTAACACCACTAGAACAATGTGAATCCCAAGATTCCCAGTCAGATGATGGGAAAGAAATAAGAAAAGAATTCGCTGAATATTTTTCAAATGAAGGGTTATTGGACTGGGCATCTAAATACTATTAAAAGACGTTAAAATAAAACTCACCTGCAACCCTCCATCGACAGTTGAGCTTGGGATATTTTTGCCCTTTAGGAACATGAGTTTTTTATATGCAAACCATTTAATTGATTCATCAGCTCCTGCACCAGATTTAGATTTAGATTCTCGGTTAAATTGACCTACGAGGGATCGAATCTTTTTTTCAATTACTTTTTTATCCACATTAAATTCATTGGCAATTTCCATCCAAGCATCGTGTTTCTTATTTCGGTCTTTGTAGTCCTCTGATATCGTGTTCCACAGTAGTTCTCTTGCTTGAAACATTTCAATCAAGTTGTAAACATTTTCGTTACTCCAGGTATAAACTGACATATTTTTATTGCTTGGCGCACGCGCAACCACTAATCTATCTATTCGCACGTCGACGCACGCTGAATTAAACAACGGGACTGACAGACACGGCACGCGGCGACCGACCCCACCCGCACCCCCGACTCACCGCATACCCCGCCGTCACCTGTATAAAATGTTTACAAACAAAAGATAACACATGTTTTATTCTGTTGAACAATTTTGTTCAAAAATGTTAATTAACGTTTACTAACATGAAAACATTTTTTGACTTTTGTGATTAAGTGTTTGCTAACAAATGTTTACTAACGTTACTAAACATTCTATAACAGCAGTGTGGGAGCACCTTTACAAGCATCAAATCTCTTAAAAAAAGTGGACTAATGTTGCTTCTTAATGGATGAAGCACAAATTTCAAAGAGGAAAAAAGTCTTTCTACTGACACTTGAGTTGCTGGTGCACCTAGAACAGTGTTGGCTATACCTGCTACTTCTGACGAGGTAGTGGCCATATTTTGCCAGTGCCTTAGTATGTCATCCTCTAAATTAATCCGTGCATTGTGGCAAAGGTCGTGTGAACACAAATCAATGGACCTACTTTTCACTACATTTCCTCGCATTTTTTGTTTACTTTGAAGCATAGCTTCAATAGCAGGATAGTTAGTGCTACTAGTGCTAGGCATCGGATTGTCTGTATCCAATTCAGTATCAACCAATTCAGGATTGGAAGACAATGAGTCCCTTTCTTTTAGAATGTTGATTTGCATATACACCTGTTTCAAAAGTGTCCTTGCCTTTTGGCACTGTTCTGGAGACAATATAACATTCAGGCGGCTATCCAAATACAAAGCCTCTAAAACCACGTCATTTATCATTAAGTTTGTTTCTCGTTTCGTCATAGCAGTATGCAGAGCAACGGCAAAACTGTGGTATATTATGGCGACTTTATTTTTGCAATTAAGCCATGTGATATAAAAATCACCCATAGTTAGTTGTTCTTTTTGAAGTCTCAAAGTGGCTTCATTTGCTGGCTCAAAACATTTGATTGAATCCTCGACTTCGCGCCAAAAAATATTTGATACTAACATTAATATTTCCGGGGTATCTCACAAAATGTTCGAAGACTTATTAATCGAACCAACATGTTATATGTTGAGGTCCACCTAGTAGCGCAGTCTTTAATCGGCTTCCTTAAGCTTGCATGCCTTAAACGGTTCAAATTATTCGGCTTGCGTAATATATTAACCACATTTTTTGCCATTGCTATCGTTGATTGTATACTGACGTCAGCGTTAATCGCATCTTTGACTGCCAATTGTCGTGTATGTGCCGCACATAACATCCCTCGTACTTTGAATGTCCCTTCATTATTAATGAAATTATGAACATCAACATCGTCAGAGTGGAAAATATCATTTACCTGCTCCTCTTCTGTGCTTTGTTCTTCGCTTTCTTCATTTTCGTCCATTAATTCAAATTCTTCTTGTTCGGTTGTGCAGTTATCATATTCAGAAATGTATGCTCCTCCCATCAATTTTACCATCTTTACCATATTACTACCGTTATCAGTACAAATACAATATATTTGATCTACCCCAATTCTAAAATCTGTCAATAATTCTTCAATCGTATTTTTTAAGAAAGTCGAAGTTTGTCTGTCGCACACTTCCAAAACTCCTAGATTCCTTACAACAATTCTTCCATTTATAATATATTGCACGTTCACGCCGATAAATTTGCGTTCAAGGCAAGTTGCGGAATCCAATTTTAAACTTATCATTTTGTTTTGTACTTCGCTCGATATGCATTTTCTAATAGCATTAGCTTCTTCTTGTATTTTTGTTTTTATTGCTTTAATGTTAATTGTTTTACTTGCAACGTCGCTTGTAGCGGCAAAATTAATGATTTCTTGAAAGGCCTCATCTTCTATCGTGGCCAATGGTCTTCCATGAATAGGGGAAATTCATGTTTTTTTTTTGTCTTTAATTAATATTTTACTACTTTATAACGTAGAAAAAAATATAAATAGGCTTCAAAATACTCTAGATATTTTTAAAAATGAAATTTAAAACATTGAAAAAATTTGAGCAGTTGAAACGCCGTCATTTTGCGCGCGCTTTGCGTGACGTCACATGACACGTCCAGTGGGTCTTTACTGTGAACTTTTCAGTTACTTCGTACATACTTACAGTTTTAATAAGTTAATAACCATGGAAAAAGCCAAAAAAATATCTTATAAGTATTGTATAGTACCGGAGTGCACAAATACTGTTCGAAAAACACCAGACAAAGTGTTTTTTCGTATTTCAAGTGATGCGAAAATACGAAAACAGTGGTTTAAGGTGATGAGAAGAGATAAATTATCTCCTAAATCGTGTTTATACTGTTGTGAAGATCATTTTAACGTAAGTATACTTTATTTATATACAGCTTAGTGTGAATTAGTAAAAAGTAAGTTTTGCATTAGATAATGAACATTAGAAAATTCGGTTTAAAATTAACCTAACCTATAAGAAAATATGAGTAGCTATAACTTTCAATAAAAACTTTATTCCTGTTGTGGTTTTACGAAATTTTTATGGTTGTTGTTTTATTCCAGCTTAAGGAAGATACAGAAAATTATATTGAATACAATTTAATGAAAGAGCAAGGAGAAAAACGGACTCTACGGTTGAAGAAAGGAGTTTTGCCTCATATATTTTTGTGTCAAAAACGGAGGATGCCATTACAGAAGGAGAGAATGGCTGAAGTTAAAGGCAAAGCCCTTTCATCAGAGATAGCTTTTAAAAGTAGTGTTGTTAGTGAACCTTCACAAATAATTGATCACGAAGCAAGTCCAAGTACTTCCCACACAAATGTCTGTGATCAACCAGGACCTTCCCGTATTGGATGTGATGATTTTCAGGTAGAGCTTGTCACTTCCCATATTGAGGAGAAATCGCATTGTGACAAAGCTGTGCAAGTGAATATTAAACCGAACTATAGAAGTAAAGGTGTCAATGTGAATATACCTATTGAAAAACAAAATGTAGCATTGTCACCATTTTCTCTTGTATCACGAAATATAGGAACTTCACCTGTTAAACTATCTGTTTTAAAAATAAAATTGTTTACTGAAAACACAGCGGATACTATTTCTATGTCATCTTTTTCTTCTTTGACCTCTGTTGATTATGAACCAAGGTATCAATCTGAGTCAAGCGAAGTGCAAAATGATTCAGAGGACAAAAAACAGTTTAAAAATGTAATGTGTAGTAGCATGCTAACTGCTATTGAAAAAGAGCCAAAATGTTGTTAGGATTACCTAAACAATCATATCATTTAATAAATCTTTTAAGTGATAATATTCCGCTTCCTAGTAAACACATATTAATAACCCTCAAGAAAATTAAATTAAATGAGTCCTTTAGCATCTTGGCACAACAGTTTGGATGTTCACAAAGTACTATTTGTAGAATTTTTTCTAGAAGTATTTCTCTTATGGCAGCAAAACTTAAGGACTTGATTGTGTGGCCAGCATCATCAGATATTTACAAAAATTTACCCATATCTTTTAGGTGTAGGTATGCAAATGTCGTGTCCATTATTGATTGCCTAGAAATTCAGGTTGAAAAACCATCAAATGCCGTTCACCAATCACTTACTTGGTCACAGTATAAAAAATGTACTCCTTAAAGCATTTAATTTCATGTACACCTGATGGCTTGATCAATTTTATCTCTGATGGATATGGTGGTAGGGCTACTGATGTTATGATAGTACAAGATAGTAATTACTTACAGGTTTTACCTCCTAATAAAGCAGTGATGGCTGACAGGGGTTTTAAAGACTTATCATGTTTGCTAGAAGCTAAAAGATGTACCCTTATACGACCACCTTCTGTATCAAAGTCTACCCCCAGTACTAAAAATGAAGTGAAACAATCAAAACGTATAGCAGCATTAAGAATACATGTTGAACGGGTAATAAATAGGTTAAGAGAGTTTCATATGTTACTTCCCCATGCTTGTGTAGACTATAACTTAATTCCTATCATAGATGATGAAATAATAGTAGCTTGTGGATTGGTAAATATGCAGGATGTTTTAATAAAAAAATGAATATATATTTACATTTGTTTTTTTTCATAGCATAAAGAAAACAGGTGACAATAATTAGACAGAAATCAAATATAAACAAAATTCAGTACTTAACAAATACATTAAACAAAAAAAATCTATCTATTTAAACATAGTTTAGGAAAGATAGCTTTATTCCAAAAAATGATGCATTTTTCTAACAAATTTTCAAAAAGTTGCTGGTCGTAGTTGACTTCTAAGATTTTTTTTTTTTGTTTTTTCAAAATCTGGATGAGCAACACAAAATAGTGCCTGTGCTTTATTAGAAAAATGCATCTGCAGTTGCACTTGTGCCATGTATTTGGCAGTCACGCTATTTCCTGAACTGACATATCGTCCCATTGCTTTTTCTGATGGGCATTTTATTTCTATACTATACACACTACTTTCACCATCTGGAGAAGCACCCATAATAGGATATTCACTATTTAACTTTAATCCACATTTATTTATTTTTATTTTACAAATTTTTTCTACTTCCTTTAAAACCTGGCTTTCCAACAGTCTACCCCTTTTCATAGCCTCCGTGTCCCTCAATTTACTTGCTCCCAAAATGGTCTCCGTTAACGTTCCATCAAAAGTATTACAATGTGCAGCATCATAAGCTTTTGAAGCTGTGATCCTTCCATACCTCAACTCGTGCCACAATGGGCAGTCATTCTGTTCCAAAGTAGCTGTTGCAGCTTCTTTGCATGCATCTACAGTCATTATTAGTTTGCAATATTCTATAAAATCAGGAGGGTTTGTAGCTTTGCTTGTAGATTGAAGATGGTGCATTGACAATTTTTCTACAGTGCTTGGCGCTCTATAAAACCTCATCAAATGATTATTTGTATCACCAACCAAAGTGCAATGATTTTTAACTACGGTGAGAAAACTTTCGGTATTCAAAGATGTTGGCACGAGCTCATGTTTAGGCTTTTCATACATTTTTTGGCTTTAATAAACTTCTGGCTAGTACCAATTGATGATAATTTCGTTGATGATGGATCTTCACTGCGCCAATGTAGCCATACTAAAAAAGCTATAGCATGCTTACATCCACCTAAAACAAGAGAAATAAAAAAACAAAACAATTACTACACGAATTGAATCGACTTAAATGTTAATAGAAAATATCAAGTTCCTAAGTGCAGGTCACTGAAGCTTAACAAGTAAAACTTAATTACCTAAATGTGCAGCACAATCTTCACATTGAACAGAGATAATAGTTTCCTCTGTTTCATTGCAGGTGCAAATAACAGCATAACATTTTTGTCGCACATTATGTTCAGGTGTAATCCGAGCCTTAACAACACATATGTCTCCATCTCGTTTTACTTGGACGTATCCAACTGCTGAATCACCGTAAGATTCTCGTTTAGACCTGAAATAGACAAGTACTTATAAACACTCAAAGAAAACAGCCCACGTAAATTAGGTTATCAATTTATAAACATTAAATCATTATATATTTATGTCAGATACACAAAGTCAAAGGTGGACTACTTGGGTGAACTTCAAATATAAAACATGTATATATAGACGTAAAATAAGAGTTTCAGAGTAATGACAACTGGATATGTATAGGTTATGTTTTGGTGTATTATAAGTAAACTGCTGTGTGCATTTATGGATAAAAATCTATATTATGGTCTTAAGTATATGAAAAACAATAATAATTACCTTGCAGCTTTCACTCCTCTGATCTCTGCGCTCGTAAAATCGGGATTTGATGCAAAATATGCTGTCATCATAAATGCATCTATTTTCGGTAGATTGTCCGATTGTGCTTTGACAAAACCAGCTTCAGTCATCGTCTTAGATTCGCTACAAATCTAAACTAAACTTTATTACAATCAGCACAAGATAACAGGTTTAAATTATTTATTTTTTTCACAAAAACTTGTATATGAGTTTCGACGCTGATGAATGCAATGTCGTGTCAGATGACGTCACATTTCGTTCGACCAATGGTGGCGCGTTTTGGAAGTTTGAATTTCGCTCACTTATTTTGCGCTTTTTGATTATTATTTTAGGGGTTTAAATAATAAGTAAATAAAAAATAAACCTTTTCATTATAATATGACGATAATAAGTATTCGAGAAAAAAATATTTTAGGCCATTTAATTTTTTTTGCATTTTCCCTATTGTTACAAGTCGGACACAGAGTTTTTTCAATTGATCAATCCTAGCTATTGCGATTTTATCAGAGGAACTAGACTTATTTTTGCTTATGATTTTGGTATTTAAATCTTCAACAACTTGATACTCATTAGAATGTTTGGTGGCAATATGATTTTTTAAATTTGTTGTATGTTTCCCCTGAAATAGAATTAAAAACTCTTCATGTTATCAAGAATTTCAATAGAACATAAAATTAAACAAAACAGTGAGAATAATAATAAGTACGATACTTCCAACATTTATCATAATATAGGACAGAGTAAATTTTAATGCATCAACAACCTTGCAGGACTAGGTAACTAACATCATAAACAACAACATTTGTTTAACGACTTTTTATAATTTGACACATTTCACTTTCATATAAATATCAATTTAATTTTATGTCTAAATGTTCTTATCTCTGTAATTTAGTAAACAAACCCTTCCACCAATTTTGTTAGTCATATATTCAACATTCATACAAAATATAAAATGTGTGACCGAGTTACATACAAACTTATTTTTCTATTTTTTTAGCTAAAACACTAAGCTATTTTAAAACAACACTTTCTTGCCCCACCACACATACTTTGGCCATATGATGATGATAATGATTATAATTATAATAATAAAAGTAACTCACTTTTATTTTATTTTTGCATAATTCACAAGTGCTCGTATTTGATTCTATATCGTACTGAAAGTAACGATTTGAACTGCGTCTTTTCTAGTCGGAGCCATTTTTCACACGGCAATTCACTTTATTATTAATTTAATTACAATAATTCACATACGTAAACGTGACTGTCCGGTGTGCAGACTGCGGATTCCAAAGAAAGTGACAAGTAATAGAGCACGTAAACTAACATTCGCGCGTGCCGACGCCGACAGGTTACAACCTGCTGAACTGTCGAAGTCAAAAGACTATCGTCTTGATAGGATGCGCAATAATAAGTCTTATGCGCTGCACAAAGAAATTAAAATAGGCATGGCATCATTCTTAAACACTTGATAGGGTAATGGTACAGTTACACATGCTAGTTAGTAGCATACTTTTTAGTATGCTCATTAGCATACTTGTTTCGAGCATGCTCTGCACTTGTCTACATTTGCTAGATATAAGCATGCTAGTTTTAAGTATGCTTCTGAAAGAGCATGCTTAAAGCAAACACTCCGGTACACATGACATTTTATAGCGTGCTTACTGTCAGTTCAAACAAAACCATGGACAACCAAACAGCCATTCGTAACGAATTGAATAGAATTATTCTTTTGGTAGCGTTGCAATGCGTCTAAAAACTTCTCTCAGATAGAAAGAAAAAAACAAGGAATAGGAAGATTTGGGTCAGTGATTGGCTAAGTAGAAGAGAAAAACTTGGACCAAGTACTCGATTGTTAGTCGAAATGCGAGAAGAAGATATTAATGGTTACAAAAATCATTTGCGCATGTTACCGCATCAGTTTGACTGGTTACTATCTAAAATTGAAAGCGCTATAAAGAAACAAGATACACACATGCGAAATGCTATTCCACCAAAAGTGAAATTGGAAGTGACATTGAGGTATCTAGCAACTGGAGATTCGTTATACACATTAGAAGCACTTCACAGAGTTGCAAGATCTACGATAGCTCTTTTTTTACCTGAAGTGTGCGATGCAATATACAATGCTCTGAAGGATTATATGCGGGTAAGTAAAGTAAACCAGTAATTATTAGTAAGATCAAGTATTTATTGTTTATTTTAACAAAATTTATATTCTTAGCTTTAACACGTTTTCCATGCTTTGTTCAACAAATCTTCTTCGGGGACGGTAGAATCTGATTGGGATGACGAGTAAGGAAATGTGTAAGTGACTGTGTTTGTGTTTGTACTGGAAGGTATGAAAGTTATTGTTTGTGTATTTGTCATTGTTTGTGTATTTATAGTAGGAGGTGTATAAGTGACTGCGTCTGTGATTGTATTGGAAGGTATGAAAGTTTGTGTATTTGTAGTAGGTGGGGGTATGAAAGTCATTGTTTGTATATTTGTAGCAGGAGGTGTGTAAGTGACAGATGTAAAGGAAGACAAATTTGGGTACTGGTATCGGCGTCTTGCTGCAGTCAGAATTTTTTGGATCTCATTTTGTACATCTAATGCCTCGTACAATGGTAGGGCTCGCAATTGAGCTGCAACATTTTGAGCAAAATAATGGAATTCATCGCAATTAGACTGTGTATTTATAGCAGAAGAAATATTTTCCAAACGAGCGAGCGCACAGGTAATGGGTTCTTCTTGTGAGCTTCTCTTTCTACGTCGTGTTGACGAGCTGTTATTAGATGAACGGGATTGTGGTCGATTTTCTGTAGTTGAAGGATCACTTCGTTGTGAATCTTGCGATGACTCTTCTCTATCCTGTATCTGTAAAAAAAAACTAAGTTTATAAAATATCAACTTCACATATTTATTGTTTTTTTTACAGATTCCCGGTCATGGAGATTGGAAACGCATTGAACACGGATTTAGAACTAAATGGAACTTTCCTGGTTGTGTTGGGGCGATGGACGGTAAACATATAAATATACTCGCTCCTGATGATACTTCTGACTACTATAACTACAAGGGCGCCCATAGCATTATACTTCTGGCATTAGTTGATGATGACTATTGTTTTTCATACGTAAATGTTGGGACTAATGGTAGAGCTTCTGACGGAGGTGTTTATCAAAAATCGAATTTAGCACAAGCTTTGGAAAATAATACTCTCAATTTACCAGACCAATCAGTTGTTGTAGCAGATGCTGCTTTCCCTCTAAAGTCATATCTTATGAAACCCTATCGAACAACTCCAACGATTCGAAAAAAAATATTTAACTACCGTTTATCGAGAGCCAGACGAATCGTTGAAAATGCGTTTGGTATTTTAGTAACAAGATTTCGAGTTCTTATGGATGCCATAGATATGGCCCCCAAAAATGTTGATAGAATTACATTAGCTGCCTGCTCTTTACACAATTGGCTTCGGAAAACATCTGATATGTACATCACACAAAGATGCGTCGACTTTGAAGATATACAACAACGTGTTGTGGTACCAGGATCATGGAGGGCACAACTGCAAAGAACTTTAGAAGGCTTACCACCTACACGCTACAGTAACCACGCTTCTCGACTGGCAGAAGCAATAAGAGACACCTACGCGCAGCTCTTTGAAACTACAGAGGCAGTACCGTGGCAATGTCATATGATATAAATTCTCCATCATCATTTCATTGTTCTGCCTATATGATACAAATGAATGAATAGAAAATGCTGTTCTTATTCTATGATATTAAATAACTATGTTTTACTAACATTTAAGTGCATTTTTATTTATTAAAAATCGAAACTTACCAATTCCATAGAAATAGGGTCAGGGACCCTATTCTACTCGCCAGTGTCTCCAAGAAAAGAATGCATTTCGTGAAACCAGGATGTGGATGGGTTGTACACAGTATCGGTACCAGAACCGGATCGCTTGGAACTCTCAATTTTTTTTAATTCGCTGTGGTAAACAGACCTCAAGTTTTTTATTTTTGTTTTTATAATTTTCAAAGTCAAAGCAGGATCGTCCATGTTGGTTAATATATCTTGATATGCATTATTTCTTGCAATATTGTTTTTGTATTCTGGTATGCGCGGATTCCATAGGCATTCATTGTTCCGATATAAAATCACAAATTTCAACATTCTTTCGTCGCCCTAGCGAGACATTTTTGGTGCGAAATTGTGCACGCGCACCTGCTGCTAACGACTGATCGATACTAGCATGCTCAATAAGCAAACCTGTTCACACATGCTGTAAGCACGCCCCCTTCCGCCCGCGCTGCAGGTAGCATGCCCAATAATCGCACGACCGTCGATTTTTGAGCAAACTCGAAACTAGCATGCTCATTATTAGCAATAAGCTACAGATACACATGCTCGAAAGTAGCACACTACTAAGCATGCTTGACAGCATGCAAATATTGAGTATGCTGTCGTACTGGGTACACATGCTAGGTATTAGCATGCTAGTTTTGAGTATGCCGCTGTATTAGCATGTTCAAAGCAAACATCCCAGTCACACTTGCTACAGAACTCTTGCTGGTATTACAAGCGCTGCCTTGAAATGAATAATCAATTAGCTATTCGTACTGAACTCAATAAAATTGTGTTTTTGCTCGCGGTGAAATGTACTAAAAAACTGTTGCTGAAAAACACCAAAAAAACAAGAAATAGAACGATTTGGGTTCGTGATTGGATAGCAAGAAGAGCCAATCTTGGAGCGAGCACTCGTTTGTTGGCAGAAATGCGAGACGAAGACACCGAGGGCTATAAAAACCATTTACGCATGTTGCCTCATCAATTTGATACGTTACTTTCAAAAGTTGAAGCCTCTATACAAAAGCGTGACACACATCTGCAAGATGCTATTCCTGCTAGAGTGAAATTAGAAATCACGTTGAGATTTCTAGCTGTTGGAGATTCTCTGCACACATTAGAGGCACTTCACCGAGTGGCAAGATCTACTATATCTCAATTTATACCCGAAGTTTGTGCTGCGATAACCATGGCTTTAAAGGAATATAGTAAGGTAAGAAAAACAAACATTATTTTTTAAAATGTTTATTAATTAAAAAATCAACATTTATAGCAACAATCAAAATCAAATTGAGAAATATTTCACTCAAGACATATCCCAAGCTTTGCTTAGGACATCAGCTGTTCCTTCTGAAGTGCCTTGCATAGATGTCCGTCTAAGTAACGAAAAAAAGTCTTGATTTTGTATGTTAGATGAATACTGTGTGTATTCTGAAGTACCTTGAATAGATGCCTGTCCAAATGATGGCAACGGTTGTACATTTTGCGAGTTAGCTGGATTATCTTGAATTACAATTGGTTGATTTGGGGTGTACATAGTAGGAATGGATACGCTTCCAATGTTTGGATACAACTGTCGACGTCTAGCAATAGTAAACTTGCTTGAATTTCAGCTTGCACATCCAATGCTAAATTTAATGGCAGTGCGCGTAGTTGCGAAGCTACATTAAGACCAAAATAATGAAATTCATCAAAATGTGGTGGATTATTTATATTAGTGGATATTTGTTCTAGGCGCTGTAAAGCAGCAGTTACTGAATCATTTGTTGTCGTAGACACTGCGTTTCTTTCTCTGCGAGCGAATCTCTGATATGTTAAATTTCGGCTAGAATGACTCGTGGTAGATTCTTCCTCAGTGGGTGACATAGGTCCAATTCCTACTTGTGACCGAGGTCTAGTTTCCATTTCCGATTGTGTAGTGCTTCGAGAGTCAGGTCTATCTTCGCTCATTAATGACTGCGAAGCACTTCTAGGCCGCTGGGTGTCGTCATTATTTGGTGATCCCGGGTCATCCTGAAAAATAAAAAAAAAATATTCATAAGACACAAATGTTATTAATTTGAGTATTTTGTGTTTTGCATATGCCATCCTATGATGAATGGAAGTTAATCGAAAATGGATTTCGAACTAAATGGAATTTTCCTAACTGTATTGGAGCTCTGGATGGTAAACATATAAATATTTTTGCTCCGGGCGATAATTCAGATTATTTTAATAACAAAGGGAACCGCAGCATTGTGATGCTGGCTTTAGTTGATGATAAGTACTGTTTCTCATATGTGAACATTGGAACAAATGGAAGAGCTTCTGATGGAGGCATTTTCGCAAGATCATCTTTGGGACAAGATTAGAAAGCCAATCTTTAAGTATACCAGAGCAATCTGTTATCGTTGGAGACGCCGCATTTCCCTTAAAGCCGTATCTCATGAAGCCATATGCAAGAACACCTACCCAGAGAAAAGATATTTAATTATCGCTTATCCAGAGCCAGAAGGATCGCCGAAAACGCTTTTGGGATTTTAGTAACTAGATTTCGAGTGTTTCTAAAAACAATACAAATGACACCAAGTAAAGTTGATGATATTACATGGGCAGCTATATCCTTACATAATTGGTTTATTAAAACTTCTGATATGTATATCACACAACGGTGTGTCGATTTTGAAGATTTACAACAACGCCGTGTAGTACCAGGAACATGGCGGCAGCAAATGCGCTTAACTTTGGAAAATATACCACCGACACGTACTAACCACGCTTCTCGACAAGCAGTTGCCATTAGAGATACATACGCACAACTTTTTGAAACAACAGAAACGGTACCCTGGCAAAATTATATGATCTACCTTCTTTAAGAATGCTTAAGCAAGCTTCATGTTGAAGCACGGCGCTTCTCTTTCTTTCACAAGTTTGTATTTTAAATGCCATTAAATTAAAAATGAGAGGTTACGTGCCATCGTTAACGGTGTTGGATATAACTATACATATAACTTATTTAAAAGAAGAAGCAAATAATACTTACATGAGAAACTTCAGTACTTGTAGTTGGACGATACTCATTCGAGTCTTTCAAAAATGAGTGCATTTCTTCAAACCAACAAATAGTGGGCTTATATACATTGGACGCACCAGAACCAGATCGCTTTGAACTTTCTATTTTTTTAAACTCTGTATGATATACCGATCTTAAATTTTTAATTTTACTTTTCAACATTTTTAATGTAAAATTTGGCTCGTCAATAGTACTTAATAAATCTGCGTAAGCATTATTTCGAGCAATGTTGTTTTTATACAGAGGTGAACGTGGATTCCACAAACAATCATGGTTACGGTAATTAATAACAAAATTTAGCGTCTTATCGTCTCCCCAACGCGCCATTTTACACACAACCAACTGACTAAGCTCACTGCTTGCTACTAACAAGCATGCTACAAAGCAAACACGTTCAGACATGCTTTAAACGCAGCCCCCACTAACCCGCTCCTCAGGTAGCGTGCTCAAAAATCAACAGTTGGTCGATTTACTAGCAAACTACTAGCTAGCATGCTATTTTCAAGCAAGGCCCAATACACACGCGCTACTTGATAGCATTTGCTCAAAAATAGCATGCTTTCGTGCTACTTTTGAGCATGTGTATCTGTAGCTATATTTCGACACACGTACCACTAAGTAGCAATTGCTCAAAAGTAGCATGTTTTCGTGCTACTAACTAGCATGTGTAACTGTACCTTAAGCCTATTAAGGGTTTTTAGTATTGGTAAGCGCTTACCTGACTGACATTGTATTGTTAGTCTTAGCATTTTGTCGGGGTTAGACCTATAATAAGGTTACCTAACGAATGGGGTTTTTGAAAACAAGCCTATTAAAAACCCAATCGAAAACCCACTTAAGGGTAAGTGGTTCCGGTCCCTGCCGGTACATGTGAAAAGGCACTTTCTATAATTTTTTCCTCCGTTTCATTGACAGTAGTTATCCCGGTCTAGTCTATACTGTAAATTCTTTGAGTTTCAAAGTTGTTCCAAACTATAAAAGAAACGTTTTACTTCAGTCTTGTTAAATCCAATTATTCTATTGATACTCGTAGCTACGGGTTATCCGATACCCAGATTGGGATGTCGCCTAAAAAAACCATATAGCCAATCTTTGCTAGCAGTTTTATAAATTTGATTAAACCGTGATGCAACACCTAGTTTTTCAGCTAAAATGTAGCATATTTTACGAAATTGTTGTTGGGTAAGACAATAAAATTTATGAGCTAACAATTACGAAGATGATCAGCCTTGTCAACTTTTTCTTGTTCAGAAGTGAAAACAGGATGTCTTCCCAACTTTGTAAAACATTTGTAACTACTGTCAACAGCTTTAGTTAGATCGTATCCCTTCTTCAAGATGCTGTAAGTAGTGATGCGCCAACTCGGAAAAAACAAAACTCGATTTAACCCGAGTTAAAATCCACTTAGCTCGAGTTGAACTCGAGTTAACTGGATCGACAAGCAGTGGCGTAACTATAGCGATTGAGGCCCGTGGCAAATTCATCGTACTAATTGCATAATAATAAATGTCAGGAGTAAGGAGTCTCTGACCGGGGGTTATCTGAACTGAATCTGTACATTGTTTACACGCAACACATCCACTCACTGGCGATTCGAATACATCCCAAACTACAGTTTTTTTTTCTCCCGGCATTTTTTAAAAACAGAACATATAACACCAATATCTACAACAATAACCGTCAGTTTAAAATTAACCTCAAATCTACATAATATATTATTATGTGACACTTGTTTGTTATGAATAAATGAATGAACATCATACTCTTACTCAAATGATCGGCAAACAAAAAACATGGAGCGACATGTCGGTTCCATTCGGTTTACGAACTCGAGTTAGACAGAATTCAACTCGAGTGGATTCGAGTTACGCCCAACTCGAGTAAACTCAGTTAGTCACCCGAGTTGACCATCACTAGCTGTAAGGTATGCCGGTTGCCTGAGATATTTTGTACACTGACCTGCCTCCTCATTTAAGGATTTTGATTGTATTTTCTAATTATTCTACTGTCCACGATTTTTTTGTAGTTTAACGGTCTTTCTTACTCGGCAACAAAAACAAAAAGAAAATAGTTTGAAAACCTTACAATACATTATGGACTGTCACAGGGTAGTGGGAGCTACGGCGGGTTATAAGAGCTAATTAGGCTCCTATTTCTCACAAACTCGCATTTTTTAAATATATAACTCAAGTAGTTGAGTTTGACGACAACTAGCACAACTGTTCAAGATTTTTGATTTTATGTTTTTTATCACATAACAGGTTACATATTTTTTCGAATCAACATGCAATAGGGAATCATTATTTGTGATATCTGACTAAACATGTATTAAAGAATCAATGTTATATGCAAAATCAACAGTGGGAGAATCATGCTTAATACCAATCAAATGTGAGAGTGATTGCAAGCAAGTATTAAAATCTTCTACACAAATTAGCACCAGTAGAATGGACAGAATTATAATTATTAACAATCAAAGTCTTAAATGCATTGATAAATTGATTACAAATAAGTTTAATATTTCTAACGCCATTACTTCTTTAGAAAACTTTTGTAGTATTTTTCTAGCTAAAAGTCAAAATCAAAATAATCTTTATTCAAATAGACTTCTTAAAAGTACTTTTGAATCGTCCAACATTTTTTCCTATTTTTAGCTACAATTTGATATTTTATTATTGTCATATAAATGTTCCCAGGTTTCTTTTTAAATGTTTTTTTATATTTGAAATCCAATTTTTTATTGATGGAATCGTCTCAAATTTGGTTTGTTTAACTCCATTTTTTACTTTAATTGATTAAAATTTGATTGATTCTAAAATTGGAATTAAATCATCCCACAGTTGGAAGTGAGGGGAAATATTTTTAATACAGTTTTTATATATTTTCAGTTCACCTTTATAGGAATGACCATTAAAAGAATCAAAGAGCTTATCAAACAGAAGGAGAAAGTCTGCTGTTCCATCACATTCAATGGGTAAGGAACGGCGCCCATTATCGGCATCGGCAAGGAAAAGGATCCTTCGGCATTCTACATGCAAGCGCACACTATCGGCAATTATGCTTTGGCATGGTGCAACGTTCTTAGGGATGACGAGGCGTCCTTAAGGATGCCGCACCGTCCTGTAGCTTGCCGAAGCTTCTCAATATCGTATTTCTCATCATAACAGTCTCAGAGTTGTTACAAGCTAGTTGTCTGAATTGTATTTAATATGGTGGACTGGGATCTAGTGTTCATAGCAACTCTTGCTGAAGAAGAAGAGAAATCTAATCAATCAAGAAGATTTTGGGTGAACAACCTTTGGAAGCAACGATATATATCCGGTGAATTCAACAATTTATTCAATGATTTGCGTTATGACGTTCGAAAATTTTATGATTATTATAGAATGAGTTATGAAAATTTTGAAAGTCTGGTTCATTTGCTTCGACCTTACATGGAGAAAAAACATCAAGATTTCGCTCACCTATACCTGCTGAAGAAAGATTGTCTGTGTGCTTGAGGTGAGTAATAAAAATGCTTTAATAAGTTTAATCATATTTATTGTAATTGTAATTGCTGCAGGTAAAAAATAAAATGTAAAAAAAAATTACAAATTCTGGTAATCATTGGTTTCAATATTCTGGTAATCATTGGTTTCAATATTCTGGTAAGCACTGGTTTCAATGTTTTCGTCTTGGCCTCTAAGTATGGGTGTCGGAGTATATGTCAATGTTGATTGTATGTTGTCTTCGTTATTTACGGATGTTGCTTGGGGTGTGTAATAAGAAAAATCGTCCATGGTGTAGTTTGATTGATTAACGGGAGGTTTTTGTTTCGATGTGGATGGTTCATAAATAGATCTTGTAGTTTCAATATTCTTGCGTGCTTCTGATAGTTCTGAATATTCGATTTCTGCCTTATTAACAAGAAGCAATACATCTCTTTTTACTTGAAGTTGCAACTTTTTCGGTAAAGATTTTACCGTAGCAGACATTGATTTAAAAAATATATCTATAGGATGTTCATCTTCGTTATTTTTAGAATCTATATATTCTTTTAATATCTCAGCTGTGGTTATGTTTTGTGATCGAGGACGCGACTTTTGAGAATCTGAATGTGACATTTGTGATTGTGGCCGTGATTCAAGAGAATCCAAGAAAGAATCTTGTGTCTCCTCGGAAGAAGAATCTAAATTAGATACCTGCGCTCTATTTTGTAAATATGTATTCAAGAATTGGAGTTCTCTTTCGTGTTTTATAAGCCTTTGTGGCTTTGCAGAATCACCACTTTTGCTTATTCTATTTTTCATCGCTTTTCGATAGTTGTTTCTGATATTCGTCCACATCTTGAGACATTCTTGAGCTGAAAATAATATAATAAACATGTAAATGAATAGCTTGTTAGTTAAACGTATGTGTCCGGCACCCGCAACACAGGTGATATTATGTATAATGTTTCGTAATCCGTATTGTATGATTTAAAATATGATTATCAAAAGTGCCTAGGTATATTTATTCTAAATTTTCAAAATTATAATAATTTTTAAAATTGGTATTATTTAAATATTTTTAATAATATTAATAGGTACCTAAGCTATATTTAAAAATATAATGTTTCTTTTCAGGTTTTTAATAACAGGAGTCAGTTTCAAAACTTTAGCATTCAATTACCGAATGGGATTTAGTACAGTTCGTTGTATAGTCCATGAAACCTGCCGTGTAATTTGGAATATTCTTGGCCGTGTCGTTCTGCCAAAACCAACAACAGCACAATGGAAGATAATTGCTAAAGATCTTTGATGAAATTTGGAATTTTCCAAATTGTATTGGTGCCATGGATGGCAAGCACTTCAAGATACGAGCTCCAAATAATAGTGGAAGTATGTATTTTAATTATAAAATTTTTTTTAGTATCGTTCTGCTGGCTGTAGCAGATGCTAAGTACAGATTTGTCATTGTCGATGTAGGTGCTTATGGTAGAAATAGCGACGGTGGTATATTAGATCATTCAAAATTGGGTTTAAAATTGCAAAACGACACATTAAATATTCCTCAAAATGTGAGCTTACGAGGAATAACTGAAGAATTACCCTATGTTTTTGTTGCTGATGAAGCATTTCCACTAACGAAAAATATAATGAGACCGTACCCTGTGAATCAATTGGCAAATATAGAGAAACGAGTTTTTAATTACAGACTAAGTCGAGCAAGGCGTATCGTGGAGAGTGCTTTTGGCATTCTTCAATCAAGGTTTGAAATATTTCAGAGGAGAATGCAAGTACAAGCAAAATATATAGATAACATCATTTTAGCCTGCTGTTCTTTACATAATTATATCATTAACAATGCAACGACGGAACTTCCAAACCCACTACAGGAAAGCGATATTTTAGAAGGTTCCGTGGATAACAATGTAGTAGGCGATAACGATATTATCATGTGCGAGGGTATGGTCGTTAGAGATCAATTCAAACAATATTTTAACTCTGAACATGGGTCAGTTAGTTGGCAGAATAATATTGTCAATAGATCATAAAATACTAACGATCTATAAGTCAATGTAATTAATCATTATCATATTGACGGTACTTATTATAACTCAATAAAAATAAAATGTTTAAGATGCTTACTTACGTGTTTTATTGAGTTCTTTGGCGATTTGCTCCCACGCATTATGTTTCATGTGTTGGTCACTGTAGTGACGCGATTTTATATTGTATAAACACTCATGTAGACGAACTAAATTAATAAGCTTTTCTTCCGCCATGACATTCGATGTGACAGCAAACAACCGGTACACACAGCCATTACCTCGATTGTGTTGTGTGAGTCAAATGATGCAAATGGCGGATGCCTCCCCTCGCCCCGCAGGGCGGCGTACCGAAGGTTGCCGAAGGATGCCGAAGCATCCCGAAGCATTCTCAAGGCTGCCGATACAGCAGCCTCAAGCATACCGAAGCGGTATTTTTGTTATTACGACCACATATCACGGAAATTTCTACTTTATTGCCATTATGTTATAGTATATTGCTATTTGCCACCTAAAATCCTTTTCCTTGCCGATGCCGATAATGGGCGCCGGGCCTAATACTCCCTGACCTGAAAATAAAAGGTTAATTAGAGACCAACTCATTGTGGAGTTACACCGAAAATAGGTTTCAAAAGTAACTGAAAGGACTGTATAATATCATAATAAAAGATTCTTATTTCACTCGCTCGCTCTAGGTGAGGCATAGGTGCGTGTCAGACTTTTGCTGACTAAAACCCAAGCTGCTCCTTCGCCTTTGAATCACGGTAACTATTTAACCTATTTCGAGTCAAAAACGAACAAGAGGAAATAATAAATAGTAAAATAATACACTCTTGCAAATTCGAAGCGCAGATGATACACGTTGACTAAATTTGGGCAGCTAATTCACTTTCATTTTTTTATCCAATATTTGTTGACGTGATTTTTCGTCAGTTTATTTACAAGACGAATTTCATCATCGCCAACATCAATGACCAAAATCATATTTAAATATTCCTATTTTTTTCCTGACCATCTAGCATAAATATGGCGTTTTTCGTCAATAAGTTATTTTTAACGCCTTTTAGCAAATGTGGTGTATCAAATAAAGGGAATACTTTTGTATTGTCTGTCTCAAAATAAGTTGTTTGCATTATTGGTCTTCCTTCATTGGTATGTTTATTTTATGGCTCTTCCCTTAACTCCTTAATTACTGCAAAATTTATTGTGTGTTGGTCACAAATAGTAGTAACTACTCTTAGCCCTGTTTCATTTATCTGTTTTATGACTTTAAGGAGAAGGGCTTTCAGATTTGCCTTCTTTGTGGCACTTTTAACAAAAGTAAAATAAATTGGTTGCTTGTTTTTACTTTTTATACCATTTATCTTAAAAACAAGGGCATTATCAGCAATGCAATTTGTTTTTATTTGTCCCATTGTCTTCAAAACCAATAATATCATTTGAACGCTCATTGTATATGAGACCAGGTGCTAATGAGACTTCATCAAATAATACATTTAGATTTTTTTTTTTTTTTGGGCATATGATCAACACATTTTCTTTTAATTCTAATATTTCTTTATTAGTAGCTGGCCTGATTGTAAATGTACTGAAGATTTTTCGCAAACGTTTTGATGGTTTTTTTCAACATTTTCTCCAAAGGTTTGTATGCTTTAGGACTTTGTTTTAGTACAGATAAGGCCATAATTTGTTCATAAGTGGTGTATCGTCTTCCTCGTGGTGTATTTCTATATTTCAACTGCAATTTCATGAAAGTTTGCGGTGCCTCAGGTAATTTTTCTATAGTTGTTAAAAAATATTTTGACATAGCAATTTTTCTAGCAACAAATATTTAACAACAAGTATTTTCAATTACGTTTTTGGATTTCTGTTCCAAACAGCGTTTCTTGGGGACTGAAAGTAAAAATAATTCAAAAATAATATTCAAGTGGATAGTAACTTTAAATGCAATTAATTTTCTTACTTAATTAGCTTTGAATTACTCTTTTGTTTATTTATAACGCAAACAATAGACCAACGTGGTGAACATTAGGAGAGGTAAATGTAAAGCAAAGGACTGCCAATAGCTGATGATGATGATGAAGTTTTATTATAAACCTACTTACAGAAAGCAAAACGTAAGCTGAAAAATTAATCAAGATACCACTTGATAAGGCTGTTGATTCCGGCTCTACACATTGCATGTGTAAAGATTTTGTATCTGATGTAATTTTTTCTATAATATCTTGTTTTGTTGGAAACCCGATATTGATGGTTCCATAGATTTTCAATTAAATAATTAAGTCGTTGTTAATGAAATTAGTTTATTTTAAAATATTTAATACTCAAAATACAATAAGGTGAGTCGGGGCAAGTGCGCCATACTTTTTTAATAGATGATTTCAACATGAAATATTTTTCGACTCATGTGATGTCCCGAGAATATAATAATTAAATATGTGATTTTGGGATATTTATATCTAAATGAAGTTTCGATTAAAAAAAAATATTGACAATTTAGTCCTTTTTATTGGAAATGTAATGAAATGGCAACTAGGCGCACTTACCCCCCTAAGATGGGGGCAAGTGCGCCTAGGTGAAGTATTAGTTTATTTTAAAGTAATATTAAAAACAAAAGCATTTTATTAAATTGAAGCAACGAAACGCAACTCATGATGTATATTTAAATTTGAAATAATGTCATATTAGGGCTAATAAGACTTTGAAATCAAATCTGGGGCAAGTGCCCCATACATTTTTATCTCCAGTACTATGTGCTCCATTGCAGGGGTGCTTAACATTTATTTGAGTCTAGCAAGTTATAGAGTAATATATGTGTTAATATACAATTTACATATTATGTAAATTATTGCGCTGAATAATCACTACCATAGATATAGAAAAAATAAAACAACGAAATTTGACTACAAATTGAATATATGACTAAGAAACGGGTGCTATTGAATGACACCTACATATTAACAATAGAAACAATCTTAAAACAGACAATAGGTATAAACTTTAGAGATCAGAAATATGCCACTTATTTACTTAAATATGACAACACAATTAAGGTCTTACTTGAAAACTTTTTTTAATACTTTTCTTATAATTTTTTTTAACTTTTAGCTAGCCGCACTTGACTCTGTGGAACGTAGAGCGAAAAGACTTACTGGTGACAAAGCACTGGTTAAAGCTAAACTTTATAGTTTGGCACACCGCCGCGAAGTGGCTTGTTTGTCGGTTTCTATAGATTGTACTACGGGGAGTGTGCTCTTGAGCTCAATGAGCTGATTCCACCTTCTCGTTTCTATCACCGGACTTACAGCCTGCACGTAGTACATATACCGTTCTCGCGTACGTAGCGCTTTTCTTCAACTTTAATATTGCGCACTGCTGAACGTTGGAACTCCCTGCCGTTGTCTGTTTTCCTGAAGGGTTCGACTTGAATACCTTTAAGAGAAGAGTAAATAGGCACCTTCTGGGTGATCTCGCTCCATCGTCGACCTAGTCGTCGCTTTCTTGAAGGCGAATCCCCATGTTATGTTAAAAAAATAACTTATTGTACATTTAACTTGTCGAAATTAATTGCAAACGATATTTGGCCACGACGTGATATTGTAGGCTTCGGCAAAACTGATACAACATCTTCAACGTGTTTCAAGTCGCAAATATCCTCAACTGTAGGATAAACAAAAAGTAACTGATTTTGTTTAGTTGGAGTTTTTCTTAAATACTTTATGGTAGGAATGCCATTACTCAAATCAATAATTTGACCTACATAATATTTCTCACTTTTTTTCGTCAGAAATTTGACTAGCACCCAATCCTCTACTTTTAATTTATCTGTCGTGTCTTCGTAATACACGATATCACTCATTCCAAAAGATGTATTTAGGTTTTCTTCATCACCTGTATTATAATCTTGTAAATAAGTTTCAAAATATTTTTCCATGTTCGATACGTCTGATTGATCAGAATCACGAACCGAATAGTCACTATTGGCCAACAAATCTTCTTCTTCTTTCTTTAATTTATTTTGTTTTCTCTTTTTTAATATCTTATTTTCATTTTTGAATTTCATTTTGTTTTTATCTTTTTTCGGAACCTTTTCTTTCTCTGTTAATGTTCTATCATTTATTATACAAATTTTTTGTCTTTTAGAAGTGCTTGCGTGGTCCAAGTCAGGTGAAGGTCTTTTAGAATTGCTTGCAACATCACATGGTGAGGAAAGGTTCAAGTGTGAGACTAATAAAGTATTAATATCTATTGGAACTAAAGTTTTATGTAAAGGCAATTTTTCAGGATTTGACGTGTTTAGTTTTATATTTTTGCAGTCTTTTTCTCTTTTTATTTTCTTATCTTTGGTTCGTATTCGTATTCGTTTCCGTCTCTCATCTTTTTCTATTTCTTTTTTTATTTTCTCGTCTTCCTTGTGTTTCAATCTTTTTATTACTTCTTGATGTGTTATAACTTCCGCGCTAGCAGAAACTCTCATATTTTTCTTTTTCAGGTTATTCTTTTGATATTTGTTCATGGAATCTAACAATAAATCTTCAAAAGATTTATTTTGTGGAACATTCTCTATTGTAATTATTGTCTTTGAAGTAGATTGTTCACAACCGTTGATTTTGCGCAGGCACAATTCAGTCAATGTCATGGGAGATTCACGAGTTTCACGAGTCTCTTTCCATTTTTTCCATCGTTTTACAGTCTCAGGATTTAATTTATGCTCTGGAACAACATCTCGGTTAAAAGGATAAATTCCTCCTTTTTTGAATCCGTTTTGTATGATAATGGGATTTAAATTTTTCCAAACTTTTCCGATTAGAGCAGAAAATTCATTCTTCGGCAATTTATCACCTTTGTTTCTGCGTTGCCATTTAACCATTTCTTGGTCCCATGCATCTTTATACGGTTTGAAAACAGATAAATCTAGAGGCTGAAGCAAGTGACTGGTGTGAGCTGGCAATTTAATGATTGTAATATTATTTTCTAGAGCCTTTTCGATAACTGAAAGCTGCAAATGTGTGCTGTGCCCATCGTAAATTAAAAGCGTCGGCTTGCTTTTGTCTTCAATCATAGGTATGAAGCTTTTTGTGATATACTCACAAAAAGCCTCCGACTCGATCCACCCGTTTGATGTGGCAGTGTACAATGTTCCGGGGTAAGCTTCATCTGACGTCCAACCACTCCATACATGTTTACCTTTAAATATGATGAAGGGAGGCCCTTTTCCTCCTGCTGCATTGCTTGCAAACAACACTGTGGTGTTGCCCTTTCCTGATGTTGCTGTAGTTCTGGTTGATGGGTAACCTTTTAAACCAACTATTTTCGTTTTCTTTGGGTCACTGCAGTAGCTTGTTTCGTCGACATTGTATATGCGCTCTGGTTTATCTT